GGCCAAGAACATTCTCTCTTATCTCCTCCCCCACCCCTGTTTTTTCATTCTTTTTTCCTCCATCCTCCTCCTATAAGTCATAGGAAGTAAATGAATATAAAGGGAGGTACTTTGATTGTTTTTTTGTAGTCTAACTTATTTATTGCTGAGGGTCTTGGCGGACCACTTAATGCTCTTTCCAAACATTGTTTGTACCGTTCACTAACTATTGTAAAGCGCTTTGGATAGGAGTGCTTTATAAAGTAAAAAAAGTTGGGGTGTGGGGTCTGGCCAGAACTTTGGGGTGTGGGAGGGGGCTCAGGGCTGGGGGGTGCAGAGTCTGGGTGGGAGTTAGGGTGCAGGATTGGGCTGGAGGTTGGGGTGCAGGGTCTGGCCAGGAGTTAGGATGCAGGAGGGGGCTCAGGGTTGGGGCAGGAGGTTGGGGTGTGGAGCGCTTACCTGGGGCAGCTCCGGTTTGGTGCAAGGGGTGCAGGTGGGAATGTGGGGGGGTGCAGGAGCTCCCATTTGGTGCTCAGGGTGGGGGTATGTGTAGGGGGTGCAGGAGTCAGGGAGGGCAGGGGCTGGGGTTGTGGGGGTGCTCCCAGGCCCCTGCAGCTCATGGCAGGGGGAGGGATATGTGTAGGGGGAATGCGGGGGCCCCGCCTTTGCTCCGCCCTGCCCTGATTCCACCCCCTTCCCCAAGGCCCCGCTGCCGCCTCTTCCCTGCCTCCTCCCCCGAGTGCGCTGTGGCCCTGCTCCTCCCCCTCCCTCCCAGAGCGACCTGAGTGGAACCTGTTCCTTTTGGGGGGGAGGGATTTGAGCATTGGCCTGCTAAACCCAGGGTTGTGAGTTCAATCCTTGAGGGGGCCATTTGGGATCTGGGGCAAAAATTGGGGATTGGTCCTGCTTTGAGCAGGGGGTTGGACTAGATGACCTCCTGAGGTCCCTTCCAACCCTGAGATTCTATGATTCTATGAGTGCCGGCAAACAGCTGTTCGGCAGTGGGGAAAGCAGCACACTTGGGGGAGGAGGCGGGGGAGAAGGGAGCTTGGCTGCCGGTGGGGGCGAAGCCTGCAGCAGGAGCCGGCAGGGCCAAGCTTCTGGCCCCGCCGCTGCCCGGCCCTGGGGCCCCCTGGCCGAGCTGGCATAGCTGGGGCAGGCTGGCTAGGGCTCCTGTGGCCGCGGGGGTGGGGTGGTGGACTTAGGACTCTGGCAGGCGGGGGTGGGGGGCAGGGCCTTAGGCAAAAGGGGTGGGGTCATGGGGCTAGACTCCCCAAAGGTGGGGTTCACCTGCAGCCCGTGAGAAGAAGGAATTCTGATATTTTCTGATACCCAAAGAGCACCCAGAGGCTTTGGGGCAGGAGGAGAGGGAGAAGGTGGTTTTGTCTCACATTTAGGTGCCCTGTATTCTGGGGCCAGTGCAAGTTTAGAGCAGCCTGAAGGCCTCTGTAGTTTGCACCCAGCTGCCTATGCAGTCGAGGGGTTATTCCAGCAACTGGGAATAGGCAGAGCACAGAGTTATGAGGATACCCCCTTTTCCTTAGGCGCACCCCCTACGCACCCCCCTAAACTGTGGGCTGCTGGAGGAGGAGGAATTCTGAAGAGCTTCTACAGCCCCCTGGGGCGTCGCCCAACACCAGAGAAAATCCGGATCCACTTGGCACCAGCAACATATGTTACCCATAAAGGGACACAAGCAAACAAGAAGAAAAGTAAAGTAAAGTCTTCAGGAGAGAGCAGAGTGCGTCTGTCCTGTGGCTCTGTCTCACACAATGGTAGTTCCTTACCCATTTAAAGGTGCAGTACACAGAACACCCCACATGAGCTGGGATCTTCAGACCCTGAGGGATAGTCAATAGGCAGACCATGGGCCAAATCCAGACCTCCAGATGCTTTTGAAGGGACCCCCAATTTTTGTATTTACTTATTATCATTGTTTTTTTTTAAAAAAAATTCTCTGGAATCTGGACCCTGACTATACTTTGACCGAGAAATTTGGACCTTGACAAAAAAAATAAATTGACTACCCCTGGACTTCTGCATCCAACTACCAGTGACGGACTCCCAGAAAGTGCAGTGGTTTCAGACCCTTAAACGCTTTGGAAAACCCCAGTCATGATGGTTTTAATAAAAGGCTCCTTCTGCCCTGTGATGTTGCACCAGCCCAAGTGCTGAACCCCAGTGCCTGTGTCTGTCTCCCAGGGAAATAAACCAGAGAACCCACTGCCTTTCCTGGGTAGCGTTCCTGGAACGCAGGGTGGATCAGCCCCAGGTCTGACACAGCTTTTCCCAGTCAGGAATTGGAGTCTGTGACCTCAGGCACTCTGGGCAACCAAACCCAAGTATATCGCTCCCCTTTGCTCGATGACATTTTTCATATTCCTCCCTGTTAGAACCCTACCCTTAAAAGCAGCTCCATTCTGGAGGATGTACCTGGGGGCAAGCCTAGGGGATAAAAGGCACCTCTAGACCTGACCCTTGTGCCTGGCACATAGGGATTAGAAGAATTTAAAAGCCCTTCACAGCAAATTCCTGAACATCCCATGCCTGATTCCTGCCCCCCCTTCCAGGTGCAGCCTCCATCCAGAAACTGTAATTCAAGTCAAACAGCCCGCGCTTCCATTTAAATACATTTCATCCTGATTTAATGCATGAACGTCCTTCTCATGCCAGCCACTTGCAGCCCGGCAGGTGCACAAAAAAACAATTCACCCCAGTTGCAGCAACTGAAAAGCATGGCTCACCCCAGTGACTAAGATACACAAGACCAACTCATCTGAGTTGCCGGGGAGGGGAAGGGAGCCCAAAGCAGGGCCTGGCGAGCTTTGTAGCAGGACAGGGCCCCCCATAGCTGGTCTTCCCCAAGCAGAGTTGGTATCGCTCCATGTCCCTGTCCAGCTCACCTCTCAAGTGCTGTGAGTCACGAGGAGATGAAGGAGTCAGAAGGCAAAAGCTTGAAGGCCTTGGTGACACGTCCAGGCCTGAGACCCCGGTTGAGGTTTTCAAAGGGGGTTTGGCAGCACACTGGAATCAATGGGAGCTGTGCGGCTAAATCTGCTCTTTAGCTTTGAAACTCGTGGTGACTAATAAAGTCCTTATCAGCCTAGGCAATGCCTCTATGGCAAAGGAGAAATGGAGGGTGGAGAGTGGCAGGTCTGCACACACTCCTGTGTTCTGCAGGGCATTTGGGCCATCTCTGCAGCTGATGTCTGTACCGGGCAGAGCTCTGAGAACTGTTCCATCCATCCCCTGCTTGCTTGCACTGCAAAGAGCACTTGGGAGCTCAAGAAGATCTGGAATCCCAGCAAACACACATTGCTCCGCCCATCCCATTCACAGGGAAAGGTGGAGCGTCACATCCAACCAGGAAGGCCAATCTGATATGTTTCAATCTTGTATCGCCCCTCTTTGAATGCTGTTTCCAGTCCAATTGCTTCCCTCTTCTTTGGCATCAGCGCTCAATTAACTTCAAACAAATCAGTCTTGGGCACAATTGTTACGAAAGGGCTTGGGGTGGGGATGTTCAAAGAGGGCAGGACTTATTTCTTGGGGACCTTGTTCTGGCTGCAGCTGATCAGCATACAGTAAACAATTGGCCCAGAGATACATGAAATCCACTCCCTGTAATTTTGCCCTCCTCATTCTGTTTTGCGTCACTTGCTTTCTCTTATCCCACTTGCCGCTTCAACTCATCTCACAAGAGCACTTGTAGTCATTTCAGGAATTTGTCAGGACGGAAGCCAGAGGTGAGTCGCTTTCTTCACTGCTGTCTGGAATGCTGTTTGGGAGGTAAATTCTCTAATCATAGGCAGTCTGGTCCAGGGTCTAGGGGCACTGGCTGAGGTGGCAGGATCCCTGGGTTCTATTCCCACTTCTGCCAGCCATCTGGTCTATGACCTTGGGCAAGCTGTTTCCTCTCCTCTGCTGCATCTGTGTTGGTGTGAGCTCTTCAGGGACGGGACTACGGCAGTGCTGAGTAGATAGCACCATGAATCCTGGACTCCTTGCTGCTGTACTGTTATGCAAATGAATTTCTAAAAAAGGGACAGGGAAAAGTGGAGTAAAAGGCTGAGGAATAACTGAGGTGGGTGGCGGTGAAGGAAACCCCAAGGCCTTTGGAAGATCCTATGTAACCCACCGGCGAGTGTGTATTATAGCAGACAGCTATGGCGCCTGGTATCCTCAGCTCACACTTTTAGCTCTGGGAGTTCCTGGTACGTCAGCCAAAGGGGTGGCAGTCACATGTAAACTGGTGGGTGTTCCCACTGTACTTTGAATGAGGAACCGGGTGAAACTGCAACCTGGAATTACCTGATGCCTCCCTAAATCCCTCCTGCCATCTGGAGATGGCCATCTCCATTTTCTGTCCTGAGGCGCCGGCTCCATTTACACAACTGTAACGCTTGTGGGGGTGACACCCTTAGCCGGCGGGAGAGAGCTTAATAACTCCACCTCCATGAAAGGCGGAAGCTAAGTCAACACCGGCGCCTAGGTTGGGGTAATTAGGGTCACTCAGGGATGTGGATAATCCACACCCCTGAGAAATGTAAGTTCTACCAAAGTAAACTGTAGTGTAGACGAGGTCTAAGTGGTTGGAAAGGACTAACCATTTCAGTTTTCTCTGGGCAACCCAGTTTGCTCTGGGTAATTCCCAGCCACAAGGGCAGCATCATACCTAAATGAGGTTATTTCAGCGGGGGCGGGTTGGTGTAGGGCGCCAAAGAACTTGTTTGCCTTTGGTGTGAGTCTGCGAGTGATTCTGCTTCACGTTGCTTCAGATTTGTGGGGAACACTTTCTAACATGCTTTGCCAGTTCTTGGCATTGTTCCTTCCCGCCCAGCCCCACCATGTTCAGTTATTGCTATCACTAATCATGCCATTATTGGTGTCTCCTGCATTCCCAGGCCAGCAATGCCGCTCAGCAACCAGAAGAAAAGCCCACCCTGCAAGCACCTCCTAATCTTTATTCTCTCCCAATTGGTAACCGCCTTCTGTTTGTTTCTTTACCTTCGGCCCTCCAGGGACCCTGGCCTAGAGGCCTGGGCTGGCAATTCCTCTTCAGTCATAGTCCATCCTGGAAACAACCCCACAGCTCCAGAGGCTGGTTCGGAGCTGACCATCCTCCTGTGGACCTGGCCCTTTGGGCAACGTGCTGCTCTGCAAAAATGCTCCGAGCTCTTTGGCATCCAGGACTGTCACATCACGGCCAACCGTAGCTGGTACCACAAGGCCAATGCAGTGATTGTGCATCACAGGGATGTGTGCTCCAGCCCAAAGAAACTGCCCCAGGCCCCACGGCCGCCTTCCCAGCACTGGATCTGGTTCAACTTGGAGTCCCCCAGCCACAGCCCTAACCTGGGCTTCATGGATAACCTCTTCAACCTGACCATGTCTTACCGGAGGGACTCTGATATCTTCACCCCCTACGGGTGGCTGGAGGTCCTCAGCCAGCCCCAGAACTTCAGCATCCCAGCCAAGTCCAAGCTGGTGGCCTGGGCAGTGAGTAACTGGAACCCAGCCTCCCGCCGGGTGCAGTACTATGAGGAGCTGAAGAAATACCTCCACGTGGATATATACGGCAGCCATCACATGTCTCTGCCCCGGGACAAGCACTTCTCCACCCTGTCCCAGTACAAATTCTACCTGGCCTTTGAGAACTCGCTTCATGAGGACTACATCACTGAGAAGCTCTGGAACAATGCCCTGGGCTCAGGGGCTGTGCCTGTTGTCTGCGGCCCCCCCCGAAAAAACTACGAGCGCTTTCTGCCCCCCGATGCCTTTATTCACATTGATGACTTTCCCAATGCTCAAGGGCTGGCCCAGTATCTCCAGGAGCTGGACAAGGACCCAGCACGTTACCAGCGCTACTTCCAGTGGCGAACATGGCTAAAACCGTCCAAGCAAAGTTCCTGGACCATCCACTTCTGCAAAGCCTGCCGGGCCTTGCAAATGACAGAGACCTACCAGACCAGGCCTGGTTTGGCCAAGTGGTTCCGCTAGGAGTTACATGCTCAGTTTGCTGTGTTTAGTGCAGATCATTTCCTGTGGGTTCAGTTGCAATTAGCCAAGACTGCTACTTTTCTTTGTATAGAGACATGCCTGCATTTGTTATAAGCTGTGTAGACTTTGCACCAGGAATTGGCTGTTCCGTGCACCCCGCACCCCTCTGCCGGTCCTCGGCTGACTAGCTTCAAAAATCTGAAACTGTGAAATGCAGAATGAGGAAGAGATAACAGAACAAAAGGCAGCTTCTGGGAGTGAAGGGAGGGGACCAGTTTGTTGGCGCTCTGGTTATGGCTGGTCTAGGACGTTGGCAGGAACTCAGTCTTAGTTTGAAACAGTCAGGAAAGATCTGCTTCACCCTTGGAGACTGACAACGCACAATGGCACTGTAAGAACCAGAGGGCAGGCAAATAAGCTGATGAGGGCTAGGAATAAAGAACCCTTTGTGGATTACTTGGAGGGGGAAGATAATGGGGTAGTGAATAGAAGGATGAGGGGCTCATGGGGCATTGTGGCTTTCAAGCTGAGCAATTTTTAGGCCTGGTTGAACTATTAAGGGGCAGGTGGATGCTAGACAGATACATAGATCAAGGCCAGTTCTAGGGTCCTTTTATGGTGGAGCAGGGGGCAAGTGGGTATTTTGGGTCCCCTGGATATTGCAGTTAAAAAATAAACCAATCAGAAGTCCAGGGGCTAGTTAGATCTTTGGGAATGCTTGGATTTTAACAGTTTAATAAAGAAAAAAAAGTCAGACAAGTGTGTCAATATTTTGCTGTGATCTATAATTTAACTAAGGAACGAAGACTCTCCAATCTGCGGCTGTTCCACTGCCCAGCGCTGGATAACGTTACATATTTTGGCCTTCCTGACAATAATTTGGGCCCCCTTGAAGTTCATTTGGTGTGGGGGTGAAGGAAGGTCTTCTTTGCCCACCTGGTTGCGCAGAGCCTGAGATGATTAGATTGATAGATAATTTTGGCTCATCTACGACCTTACTTGGTCTTCATCTTCTGCAGCAGGTGACCCTAATGTTAGGGCTAATAGGAATGGGAGCCCAGATGGGACATAACCTCAAGAGCCATGCAAGGGTAATGTCCAAATTACTGAAAGCACCTTTCATGCCAAAGTTTGCAACTCTAACACCAACACACTTTATTAAGTGATGAGAAGCTGCATTCAGAGGGACCACCTCGCCCAGCAGTGAAATGCAGCCACCTCTCGGGTGTAAATTACCAGCGTTTGAACTGTACAGAGCTAGGGTGACCAGACAGCAAGTGTGAAAAAAATCGGGACAGGGATAATAGGAGCCTATAAGAAAAAGACCCCAAAATTGGGACTGTCCCATAAAATTGGGACATCTGGTCACCCTATACAGGGCAGAACTTTAAAAAGTTCAGGCCAGAATGCATCTCCTTGCTGTGCTAGTGGATTTCAGGCTGGCTGAATGTAATACATATCGATTGGAATGTGCCCAGCTCTTGAAAGAAGAAAAACCAAACCAAATCAAACCAAAAAAACCACCCCAACCAACAGGACCCTGGTTTTGCCTCCAGCTTGCAAACACCCTGCAGGGGGTTGGCCCTTTGAGCTATTGAATCAAGTTCAAAGTCTCAGTCCTTCTCTTCAAAGCACTCCATGGTCTGGTATGCCCATGCACCTGTTGTTCTGTGTTTAGAGCTCAGAAGCAAGGTCAAAAAAATGAGCCTTGCGCATGGGACTGGAAAGTGGGGAGGGTTGTGATGGTCCCTTGTTCCTGGGGGAGTTCATTCCATGGTCTCAGGGCGGGTCTGCATTAGAGTGACCCAGCAACATCGCTCAGGGCGGTGAAAAATCCCCACCCCTGGGCAATGCAGTTAAACCGCCCCTAAGACCCCGTGTAGGCAGCACTAGGGGTGTTATTACATGGCTTAATGCAGTGGTTGTCAACCAGGATTCCGGGGCCCCCTGGGGGCCATGAGCCCATTTCGGGGGGGCGGGGGGAAGCACCAAGCAGGACCAGCCTTAGACTCGCAGTGGCCCAGGGTAGAAAGCTGAAGCCTCACTGCATGGAGCTGAAGCCCCAGGCCCTGAGCCCCACCACCCAGGTGGAAGCCAAAGTCTGAGCAGCTTAGTTTCACGGAAGCCCCTGTGGCGTGGGGCCCCAGGGAACTGCCCTGCCCCTAATGCCAACCCTGGCTTGTACACGCTGAAAACCAGTTGTTGTGGCACAGGGGGGGCCGTGGCGTTTTTAATCTTATGTTGGGGTGGGAGGGCTCAGAAAGAAAACAGTTGAGAACCCCTGACTTAATGCACCACTGGAAGGAGCTCAGATACTAGAAAAACGAACTAAACGGGCGCAGACTCAGCGGTGGCGCCCCCTGCTGGTCGTCTCTGGGAATTAGCATCCCAGCCTCCGGAGCGCCCTCTTCAGGCCGGTGTCTCACCTTGCTCCTGGCTCCCATGTCCCTCCCAGGACCCCGGTGCCTCTTCCACTGGGGGCTGCCCCCTGGCAGTACCCCCACAGTTCTGGGTCTCCCCCTCCCAGGGGAACCCAGCCACCCACCCACTATCCCTACCTCGCCTCAGTTGTAGGCTCCTGCCAGTCACCAGCTAGCCCCCGCGCCCTGCAGCATGAGCCACTCATCACCGGCAAGGTTGGGCTTGGACCTGCTGCCTCTATCTAACCTTGGGCTGCAACCTCAGTACCTGTTGGGCCTAATGGTAGGCCACAGCCTTGGGCTTTCCTGGCTGGCCCTCCCCAGCCCTGCTCCAATCCAATCTAGGTATGCTGCTTAGAGCCCCTGCAGCCAGGTCCTTCCCTCTCAGAAGCTAACAAGAGTACACTCTTCTCCTCCTGGCCTCCCTGGCTTTTGTAAGGCCCACGGGCGCAGGGTCTGTGTTGGGCATGGCCCCCAGCTGCGGCTGCTCTGCCAATCAGCCCAGCTCTTCCCCTGCCCCAGCCCTCTCCCAGGGCTATCTTAAACCCCTCCGGGCCTGAGCGGGTGCCCACCCTGCTTCAGAACACAATGGGAGCAAACTGCACCTGCAGAAAAGCAGCAGCTTTGAAAACATCTGACTTCTTTTCTAAGTACAGTCGCTCCCGGGATATTCCTGCCAGCCACAGGGCAGCACACCAGCTACTAAGCCGCAGCCCTGTGGAGGCAGCCGGCGTTTAAACTGTGGTTGAGTGGAAAAGTGTGTAAAACCTTCGAGTCAGTAGTGTCTGAGCACCTCTCTGCCTCTTTCCAGCAGGCAGCTTGCTGATGGGAAGACCCAGGAGAGAAAGAAAGGGGAGTTTTTACAAGCGCACCCCCCGCAGCTTGGCCGGGGAAGCCTGAGCCGAGTGGAAGGAATGCTGAGATGTGAAGCAGCTTTGTGATTTGCTCAGGCTGCGGGAGCCAGAGGAGGAAATGTGGAAGATCAGGATTGATCCCCCTTTCTGCGTGGCCCCTGCCAATGGCCACCAAAGAGACGCTCACTGTCTCCTGGTTCTCTTCCTCATGGGGTTCCTCAGACCCTGCCGTGAGGGGAGGCAGTTTAAAACCCTGTGAGCGGTAGATCCTATAAATGCCCCCCCGCCCCGCCCCATGCCTCCCCTGGAGATGTGGGCTGTATTTTCACAAACAGCCTCTCAAATCAGCTTCTGCAGTTCCCCCACCCCTAATTCTTGGCTCCAGCAAAAGGCCTCTGGGTGTGTAAATCGGCTTCTCAAATGCACGCCCTCTGGCAAACTTGGGGGCCTGGCTGGACAGTGCAGCTTGCTCATAAAGTGTGTGTTTTGCCACGCTCCAGCGGCTGGCCCACATAGGGGGTAAAGGCAGACTACTGCTGCCAGGGAACGGAGTTACTCTGTCGGCTTGTGGGGTAGAGGCGAGAACTGTGGCGGAATAGGGCCTGGACTTCAGCCATTTGATAGGGGTTGTCATGGGAGCGTATTGGCCATAAACTAAATTTTACTGCAGCAATCCAGACAACAGACACTCAAAAAATTTAATTGCTTTCCCAGCAGGAATCCTGGGTTTCTCTCTCTGCAGGATCCTCCAAGCTTCCCCAAACCCTCTAGCCGGGATCGAGAAACCCAGACAGGATATTGGAATTTTGCTCAGTTTGATCCCATGGGCTGTTCAATGTAGAGGCTCTGGGAATCCATCCTGCCCGGTATGGGTTACATCAGACCCTCCTCTGATGGGATTCTCAACCTCACAGCCTAGGCTGTGCTCTGGGGACAGGGGGAGGCAAAGCTGGGGCATAGAGCAGAGTAGTACCAAGGTAACTGTTTCTGCAGGGGGTTGGTGCACAGGGACTGCTCTGCAAAACCACAGCAGCACAAACCACCTATAATCCCAGAAACCGGCTAGCTTGTCACCCAAGAAGGTGGCCGTGGGGAGTCCCCTACACCTCGTCCCCTCATAGCTGTCACCACGGAGCTCCACTGGTATTTGTATTCCAGTAGGACCTAGAGGGGCAGATAAAGATCAGAGGAGCTGCTTCCTAAACACATAGCAACAAACAGCCCATGTCTTGAAAAGCTGGCAGTCTAATTAGACTACGGGGAGGAGGAGGAGATGCCTGCTACTAACAGGTGGCTCTTGTCACAAATGCAGCTTTTCCAAGGAGGGGAGACTCATTAGTGGGAAACTGAGGCACAGAGAAGGGAAGCTGGAGGTGGGTGGCAGAGCCAGGAAAGGAACCCTTGTTTCATAGAGCCACAGCCATGTAGGGCAGGAAGGAACGTGAGGGGTCCTGTAGTCCATTCTCCCACTGCTGCGCTGTGGCAGAAGTAAGTATACCTAGACCTGAGCTCTGCTCCCATCCCCTGGACGGTTCTTAGCAGAGTGGCTGCAATCCCACTTAGGACGTGAGGACCCTCTTTCAGTGGCAGCTCTTTGGCTCACTGGCAGTGCCTCGTCTAGCTTCATAACCACACTGCAGATTTCACGTCCAAGGCAGGACACGGGCATACAGTTAAGTACATGCAAGAGACCTGCAATGACATCAGTCTCGCGGGGCTGTGGAGATCCCCAGACAGCTGGATGGGGTATTCCAGGGGTGGCCAACCTGAGCCTGAGAAGGAGCCAGAATTTACCAATGGACATTGCCAAAGAGCCACAGTAACACGTCAGCAGCCCCCCATCAGTTCCCCCTTCCCCACCACTCCCAGCGCCTCCCGCCCACCGGCAGCCCCACTGATCAGCGCCTTCCCTCCCCGCACCTCCCGCTCAGCTGTTTCGTGGCACGCAGGAGGCTCTGGGGGGAAGTGGGGAGGAGCGAGGGCATGGCAGGCTCAGGGGAGGGGGCAGGAAGGGGTGGAGTGGGGGCAGAGCCAGGGGTTGAGCAGTGAGCACCCCCCGGCACATTGGAAAGTTGGCGCCGGCAGCTCCAGCCCCGGAGTGGGTGCCTGTACAAGGAGCCACATCTTAACCTCTGAAGAGCCGCTCCTGGGCTATTACCTGGGGTAGAAACAGTGAGTTTCCCCTGTGCAAGCTCAGTCTGTAACCAACCCTCAGGCCTTCCGAGCAAATCCGCATGGGTTACGATTGAAAACCTATGGCCAGCTGTATGTGCTAGCTAGGAAGACCCCACTCACCACTGAGTGGTCGATTTTGGAGTGGAATATACAAAGTTACAGCCTGGGGTCTCCTCTCGACTGACGCAATGGGAACAGCCAGCCCAGCGGAGCCCTGGGGGCTGGACAGGAGCCCACA